CGTTTGGTTTTTGAGAAAAATGAATTTTTGGCTAAATCCCGTGTTTGGATTCTGTTAAGTGCTGGGCGACAGTGTTCATCGCGTTCGCGAGAGAACTGTCACGTTCGCGAAGAGTATAGGCTGCCAAGCCTTTGTGTTCGCGAGATAGTGCTCGTGTTCGCGTAGGCTACCCTTCCCTGGTCTTCGCGTTCGCGAGACAGTGTTCACGTTCGCGATGAAGAAAAGGCTGACTCCCCCTTCCCAGTGCCTAACACTACGCGTTCGCGATGGGCTTGTCGCATTCGTGAAGGGTAACGCCCACATCGCTTTGCATTCGCGACCAAGCCTTCGCGTTCGCGAAGAAGAAATCCTTGCCTCATCAGTTTACTCTTCGCGTTCGCGAGAGGACCTTCGCGAACGCGAAGAAGGACATGCCAGAACCGAGACTCTACAGAAAAAATTAGATTTTTCCAAAGTCCAAAATATCCCGTGGCCTATCCGAAACTCACCCGAGCCCTTGAGGCTCCAAACAAAATATGCACACAAGTCTAAAAATATCATACGGACCTGCTCGCGCGCTCAAATCGCCAAAATAACACGTAGAATTCTAAATTGAGCACCAAATCAAATGAAATTCTCAAGAACACTTTAAAGTTCATATCTTCTCAACTAGACGTCTGAATCACGTCAAATCAACTCCGTTTCTCATCAAATTTCACAGACAAGTCTTAAATATCATAATGAACCTGTACCGGGTTTCGAAACCAAAATACAGACCCGGTACTAACAATTCCAAACATCAATCAATTCTTAAAAATAAATAATTTTCATCAAAAATTCATAACTTGAGCTAGGGACCTCCGAATTCGATTCCGGGCATACGCCCAGATCCCATAATTCGATACGGACCCACCGGAATCATCAAAATACGGATCCGGACTCGTTTACCAAAAATATTGACCGAAGTCAACTAAAATTAACTTTTAAGGCATAAATTCTTATTTTCATCAATTTTCAACATAAAAGCTTTCCAGAAACCTGTCCGGACTGCGCACGTAAATCGAGGAGGGAAAATGAGACTTTTAAGGCTTAAGAGCGCAAATTCGAGTTCTAAAACATAAGATGACCCTTTTGGGTCATCACACCCTTATACCTGCATAATATTAACAATGGAATGCCACCCTTATATGTCGTACAACAGTAACCCAAATCACACAACAATTTACACAAAAAATTATCACAACAACACCACATAATCATCTGGTAATTACAAATTGCCCGTAGGCTACAACCTTTCCAAGAGTACAACGTAATCAATTAAATTTCACAACAAATAGCCCCAAGGCTCACACAACGTATATAAAACCTCATAAACAATAACCAGGATGGAAAAATAGCTCAGCACAAGACAACGCCTTCTTAAATCCAAATTTCAGATAAATATACAAATGCCTCTTTTAAAACTTATTTTATTAATTATTTGTAGATAAAAAAATCCATAATGTAATTAATTCCAAGAAATATCAAATCAACAAACCTACGGAATTCACATCAAGTGGAAATCACCCCAAATTATCATATAAAATACAAACTCGACAAACAAGGAATGAGGCATGATAATTCAAGGATTTACTAAGTTCCAACAATTTATTAATTTAATACATAAGGGTGTCTAAAATTTTAACCAGTATAAATTGCACATATAAACTAAGTACGTACTCGTCACCTCGCGTACATGATTTTCAATCACACAATGTCCACATAAGACTCAATGCCTAGAGAAAATTCACACACACAAGGTTAGGCAAGATACTTACCTTTTAAGTTAGGCCGATATTCCAAAATAGCCTTCTTGCTTGAATTGACCCCCGGACAGCTCAAATATATCCAAATTAATTGTATAACTTCATTAAAACTCATTGAAAATAATTTCGGATAATAAAATATCGACTTAAAAATTCACATTAAAAAGTCAACCAAAAGCTAACGCGGGCCCGCCTCTCGGAACCCGGCAGAATTTTTACGAAATCTGAATACCCATTCTGATACGAGTTCAACCATACCAATTTTATCAAATTTCGATAACAACTCGACCTCCAAATCTTAAATTTTCGTTCTTGAAGAGTTTTACAAATTTCTCTAATTTCTTCCATTTGATTCACTAATAATTGATGAAAATAACCATGGAATCATGAAGTATAATCACTTTTGGATATAGAACACTTACCCCAATCCTTATGGTGAAAATCGCCTAAACAATCGCTTCAATCCGAGCTCCATAGCTCCCAATATGTTTAAATGGCTGAAACTCCCGTTTTAAGAATCTGTCGAGGCAAGCCTCATTTGAGACTTATAAATCGCATTTGACACCTGCGATTTGCCTCAGCCCCAGAAAAATTATAATTTTTTCCGATACGGAAATGAGCATAACTCTCTCATACGATGTCTGAATGATGAATGGTTTAACTTTCTGGAAACTAGACACCAAGGGATACGACTTTCATGTTTTTCTCATCTTTAAAATTCCTTATAGATGGTGAGATATAAGCTCCCAAAGTCAGCCATGCGCAGCAGAAATTTCTGCGATTCAAACTGCCAGTCAAAAAACAACTGCAGTACCAATTTTCAGTTAATTGATCATAACTTTCTGTACAAATGACCAAATGATGAATGGTTTACATTTCTTGAAACTAGACTCAAAGGGATATAACTTTTATTTTTGGATCATCTCCTAATTCCTTACATATTACGAGATATAAGTTTTCAAAGTCAGCCCTATGTAGTAGAAATTTCTGCGATGCACACTGCTGTAGCTAAAAACCGGCAGTTAAAAATGACCTAGAAATGGTCCGAAACCACTCCTAAACTCACCCGAGCCACTCGGGACCCCTTCCGAATATACCAACAAGTCTCATAACATAATACGGACTTAGTTGAGACATCAAATCACATCAAACAATACCGAAACAATGAATCTCACCTCGAATCGAACTTATGAGTTTATGAAATTTTCCAAATTCTATATCTTGTGCCGAAACATATCAAATCAATCCGGAATGACTTCAAATTTTGCATGCAAGTCATAAATGACATAATGGAGTTGTTCCAATTTTCAGAATTGAATTCCGACCCCTATATCAATAAAGTCAACTCACGGTCAAACTTTCTAAAAATCTTCCATTTTCCAACTTCCGCCAAAATGCGTCGAATTGTCCTACGGACTTCCAAATTCAAATTCGGACATACGCCTAAGTCCGAAATCACCATACGAAGCTATTGATATCATCAAATTTTCATTCTGGAGTCGTTTGCTCAAAAGTCAAACTCCGGTCAACTCTTTTCATTTAAATTTCGAAAATAAGAATTGTTCTATTAATTTACTTCCGAATCTTCCGAAAATCAAACACGATCACACACGCGGGTCATAATGCATATTACAAAATTGTTCGGGACTTTAAGTCGTTGAACGGGACATTAATTCATAAAACGACAAATTGGGTCGTTACAGGAAATGAGCCAAAAAGCTCTAGAAATTCCCCTCTGTTTGTGATATTATCAATATGTATGGTTTTACCGTTGATCTAGGTTACAAAGAATAGTAAGCTAAAGCTAAAATGCCGTCTGGCTCATATTTTTTCTTTTAAATATCTCTAGATCATAATAATTAGATCTATATTTCCCGCATACCTAACCCGAAAGTGCTTGTATAGTCTCAGGAACAGATGTTTCTTAGAATCTCGACAAGTCATACACCTCTGAAAGGAAAGGCCTACAACGTCCAAATGATGGAATGCGTGGGAATTACTAATGTATTTCTTTCTTATGTTACCTTTAAGACTTGGATCAATGCGGTAATGTTTTGTCTCTTCTTAATAGACTGCTCTTTTTATCTTATGCATCACCTTTTACATCATGTATTATTAACTTCTTCTTTTTCTGCTGCAAATAATGAAGTTGTTCAGCATTACTCTACATAGCTACCTGATGAAACAATTAAGAAGAAGCAAGAAAAAGTATTCCCTTTCAACTACATTTTCAAAGTCAGCCCTCTTAACAAGAATTACCTAATAAAGATGATTCCTAAAATATATAAAGGCAAACGAAATTTACAGCATGAAACAACCTTAACTCTCATGCTACACAATATAACATAACACTAAGATTAATGTTTACATTGTCATAGATACATAGATGAGGAGACAAGGAAGATAACTTCTGGTGTCTGCATCTTTTTCAAATGGAAATCCAGCTTCTTTCTCTGTTTCAAATACATTGCAGGTACAATTGAGTAGCCTCAATCGGAATACGTCTTACTATCATCTTCTGCTACACACAGGTCACTACAATATACTGTGGAAAGCCTGCCATTATAAATTAGTTTAGGGCAACTTATGTTTGAGTAGAAGGAACCAAGTATGAAGTCAATCACGTTAACAGAAGAAGATGGTGAACCGAATCTCCTACTGCTCTATTTCTCTACCTGAATTCTCACTTTCTGTGAGCTCGCTTACATTGCCGGTCCCCAAGCTCGGATAAAGGAGGAAGGTTGTGGTAGGCTGGCAGCCAGCGTAAAACCTGCCAATTCATATTTCGGAACTGAGGCGTAGTAATAGTAGTAGTTGTTGATGTATTGCAGCTCCCATTCTTTTCAGCGTGCTCTCTGTTCAAACTACGAGACTATCTACTCAGTACCAAAATGCTAACTGTGCCAACAACGGACAGGAGGTCCGGACAGTATTTTTCTACAAACACAGAGATAGGCATCTTCATCAAGGTATTGAATGAAAATTAAGAGCATAAGATTATCTTTCAATGCTAATTTAAGTACCTTATCTTTACTTCAGATGTTATTTTTACCTTGCTTGAGTATCACATTCACTCAAAAGGTAGGCATCTTTCAAAAGGGTCTATAGCTATGATCCTTCCATCCCAATTTAAGCACCTTATCCTGAGGTTATTTTTTCTTTCTTGAGTATCCCATTTATTTTAAATTATTCAGAGTCTGTTACAGTTATATAAGTTGTATAGCCCGTGTTACTACTATCTGGTATAAAAATCATCAGATATACCAAAAAACTACAGTACAACTGTACAAGTGAGTTAATTGCAACCTTAAAAGAACATTTTCATCACAAACAAAACTTAGGAGATATTAAATAGAGAAAAAGAGACATTGTCTACAAACACACGCATACACAAAATATCGACCAGATAGTTGTATATTTCTATTTGTAAAAGTACTAGAGGGTAAAGTATTTAGACAAGCTGAAAGAACGCAGAAAATAATAATGCTTCCAGTAGTCATTTGTACCCAGAAAAGAAATAGATAGTATAACATGACAACCAAAAGCACAAGGAAAACTACAATTTCTAAACGACAAATGTGTTTTCAACAAATGTAGCTTAAATTGCATGATAGAAGAGATGTAAAGTAAGAAAATAATTACTGTCGCTGATAAACTGCAACTCTGCAAGATGGAATATGAGAAAATCAAAGATAGAATTCAGAGATAACACTTCTTGGCTCGAGATTGCATTTGGCAACGAGGAAAAGAATTAGATAGCTACAGTTTGGAGTCCAAAGAATAGTTTTCACGCAACATTATATCTCATGACTTAACCTTTACCAATCCAAAGTAATAATCTCATGACTTAATAGTTCCCCCGATTGCACAAGTATATTTGTTTCGGAGGATAATATACCAAGATATGAAAAAGTTGGCATGAAATATACCTCGGAGAGAGAAGAATAGCCACTCAACCACAGTTTGATCTGTAGACATCCTTTTAAGTATGATTTTGTTCATGAATGATCCACTGTGTTGCAACTATTTCAACCAGAAGGAGAAGATTTCAATAGCAGTAATCTGTACATAGGAGCTCCACGGTCTATAACATGTTGCTCCCAATCCGATCGAATGCCAAAGGGATTTTCCTTCAACCACCTATCTTGATGACTGGTGCTATCTTCCAAATCATGCACTACTGTGAGCTTACCCTTACCATATTTCATAAATTCTTCTTTCATTCTCACTGCAACTTCTTTTACATCGGATTGGAGAAATACCTGTGCTTAAGAGAACAGATCTGGATTAGCACCCTTGGCTCATGAAATAATTTGTGCCTGTCTCACTCAAAACATATTAGCTATCCAAGCCACACTTTGTGTATCTAATGATGAATATGAATATTTGCACCATAGATTAAACCATTAAAGGACAAAAAAGGGAGAAAAAAAAAAGGTGAATTCAGGGAGTCGTTATTGATCGATTGCACCACCCTTCAAGTTCATATTTGTTAAGAAATGTAAGAGAACTTCTCGTTGACTTGATTCCTTTTTAACAATGCATAACCGGAGATTGTTATATGGGAGTCTTAGACTATGTATAATATGGTAGGTAATCACCACCGGCAAATGTGGTGGAGTGGATGAGATCACTCCACCCTTAACCAGAAGTCTCTTATATAATCTTGAGCAATCTTCACCATATGAGCTAACTTTTGGAGTTGAGTAAACCATGGTCCATCTTCTTAAGAATATCTATCATTTCTGTTACTACTTGAACATGTCAAAATTTGTTGCTTTTTCAATCACAGTTAATCACAATTCAATTAGAGACCCAATTGCATATCAGAGACACAGCACTGGAGAGCTGCAGTTTTACCTTTCCATCAGAAGCCAGTAAGTCTGCTATTGCTTCAACTAATGATCTTCGCACCATCCTCCATCGGTATTCTGTTTTATTGAAATCTGGATTTGGACACTGCAGTTGCGAGGAAATTTGATTGTTCCTTGTTATTAACATACAACTGATTACATGGCCAGCCTTGACCATGGAATTTTAATATGTATCTTAGATTCTATTCAAAAGAAGCAACAAAACGCCACCTACCTGTATTGACACAAGAACCAGATCACCAGGGTAACTGGAAACAATGGACTGAAATGTTGATGTGGCATTTGTCGCTATGAAGTATCTAAAAAGAAAACATGAAAGAAGAAAAGAAAAAATCAGAGCACATATAATAGATGATTATCTGCTGCTATATACAAGGGCAATGGTTAGTGCACACTTTCGAGGCAGATACTGATAACACTACTGCACGATGAAGTGTGAGATCATTCTAAAGCAATTAGAATTTAAAAGAAATAAGGAATATTGGTTGCTAACTCAGTTTTTAAACACAACACCGAGCTGAAGATATTGGAGAATGCCACTCCCTTTAAAAACATAACAATTTCAAAAAATGTTTATGCAGTTTTAAGCCAGAAATCAGCAAACTTATTCCAACCTTTGGCACCGCTAAATCATACCTATCTCTTGTTTACATCCTTATAAGTCATGATAACATGTTTTACTGACAAACTTCAAAGTTATTTGTGGCCTTTATAGTTCACATGCTTATCACCAATTAATTGAGGTAGTATAGTTCACATGCTTATCCCAAATGTATATATTTTTTACCCTAGCCTTAAACTGGGAAGAATTAGTGACACAAATTTCAGCTCCTTGACAAAATTCTATTTATGTGCATATCTTATAAAGCAATTACAAAGGGGAGGAGAATACATACCCATTTGTCATGCCAGATTGAGAAACATGATCAAGACAACGGCTCACCAACTGGAAACAGGGCAAAGCCAAATTATTAAGCTTAGAACAGAAAGCAGCAGAATAAACATTCTGCAGAAGACTAAACCTTTTCATTATTTTCCATGCCAAGAAAATTCCAATCCTTCCTCATCTTTGCCATTCTGAACAGAAATAAGCCGTTGCCTGTAATTTGGTTTTAACTGTGAGAACTAAGAACTAATAATGTCCTTTGGTGCTGCACAACAACATGGGTAATTTTGATATGCAGGCTAAAGCTAAGGAAATGGAAATATAAAAACTAAAAGTTTATCTTAGTAACACAGGTAGCAGTCTCCCTCTTACTATAAGTTGGATTTTTTTACCATACAAAATTCAATCAACCAAGAAAGGACTATATCTCTTTAAGGGCTATATGTCTATAACAAGTTTCAACATATACTCTCTACATTTCTCAAATCTCTTGTATGGGGACACACTGCAAGACGAGTGTTGTAGAAATGCAGATTTAAAATAAGCGCGGTCATACAAGATCATAAATGATCCCATCCGACAGAAAGTTCAAGTAGCAAGCATAGAGGAGAACATGAGATAAGGTCGTTTGAGATAGTTCAGTCATGTCCTACATAGACCTCCAACTTCACCAACCCGTAGTTGTGAAACCATGATGATTGAATGTGTTAAAAAGGAACAAATCAGACCTAAAATAAGGAAAAAAAGTTTCCTCTAAGGACCTACAATTTCTCGAAATAAGGAGATTATGAAAAATAAAACAAAGGAAGAATAAGATCCATATAAGCGATATCAACTAGTTATGATTAAGGCTTTGTCATATTAGTACGCTTACATTAAGTGCAATATTTGTTAAGAGTCTTCTTAGAGTGCTTAGAGGTTTGTATGTCAGTAGAAAATGTTAAACTTCTAGTGACAGAGAAACTCAAATTAATCAGAAGTAGAATGAAACAGTTCCAAACGGAGTGAAATGACCATTGAGGATTCACANTTTAACGGTATTATTCCAGGGATACAACCAATGTACGGGGAAACCTGTGGATTCATTGCTCACAAATATGAGGCTATAATAGTATTTGAAAGACTAAATTAGAGTCCCTCTAGACACTCCCTCAGTAAAAAATTTATGTTTCATTGTAAATATGGAGCTGTTACTGGTGTAATCAATGACTGCACACATTCAAACCCAAATAATACGATGGAATTAGAGAAAGATTGAGTCAGGGTAAAGAGAGATTTACCACTTCCTACGTCAACAACAAGAGGTAGTGTCGTATTGGCATATATAGCATCCCAGTTCAACTCAAATGGGTATGCCTGCACAGACGCCAAACACTCATTAGTTCTGAAGCTAATACACATCTATTTTTGTAAGCATACGTCATATATTAGTGGGCATGTTCAAAGTCAAGTTCCATGAGGAAAGGAGTCGGGGTGGGCGGCAAGTAGGTCTATAGTTCCTTCATGAGGAATTAAGGCTCTGATACCTTGCATTTACTACTCTAATAAATATTTCCGAACATATATGGTTCTGCGGCCCCAGCTAATATGCTCCACTTCACAGAAGAATAGTCATATTTTTTCAGTACATAACAATCATGTGGTCAGTGTTGCAAACGTTGGGCAAGAAGTGAATGGAAGGGGCTTTTGATGAGCTTGTTTATTCTTGTTTCATTTCCTATTGAGTGAAATCTTTGTCCTTATCCATGTATCTACCTTCTTTTCCCTATTAACACAATTTCAAAACCCTAAGACAAGAGGGATAGTTGTCAACAGATGAGATAGACTAATGTGTTTCAGCTTTTTGCAATTTGTGTAACACAGCATGTTGAGTTAGAAAAAAGCATACTCTATCTAGTGCCAAGAGGCCGTGAAGCTTTCTCCCTTTCAGAAACTCCCAGACAATGGAAGCGTTTTCAATCAAATCGGCCATTACATAGCTTGATTTCCCAACAAATGTCTCACATGCCTGTTTGCCAACCACAATAAGATCACAGTTCTTTTGACTAAGATTATAAAGTATTGCAGCCAATTTGGACGTTCCAGCAGATTCTTGATTTGATGCGCCGAACTTTATAGCTCCAATCCACAAAATTTTCTGAAAAACAATGAAAGCATGCTTCTCTGGGCATATATTGTTTTCACAAATAGATTGTACAAAAATAAAATTATATTCTCATTGAGCAAGAGCAACCCTGAATAAATGCTCGAGTTATATCATCATAAGATCACAGAAATTCTGTTACAGCTCCAAGTACTGCTGCCGAAGCGGTTAGTTTAATTAGTTTTGATACCATTTTCGTAGATGCAAATCTAAGGTCAGACCTACCTATGCGATCATGCACAAGAGATATCCTATGAACTCTCATAGAACTAGTCAAAGAACACCAAATGGTGACCTCAAAATTGAGCAAGTACATTTACTTTTTGGCCTTCAGCAGAAGGAACTTCAGGGATTACCTTGCATCTTGAAAGCACGGAAATCATTTCCTCCAACGTGTTGGGTCCAACATCAACAGGTTTCCAGCCTAAGGAACATATTTGAAAGCCAAAAATATCTTAAAAACTATCATTCCCAGTGGAAAATACTAGAGGGACATATTCTCAAAATTTCAGAAACGAAATTAGCTTGAGCTCGAACAAATTGAGTTTCCAAAATAAATGAAGTTCATTTATACTATTTTCACTTTTTTAAAATTGTTCAGTTCTTTTGTCCATTAGGTCCTTAATCTAGCATATAAATCAGTGCAGACCAGGGGCTCGGTTATAGATTAAGAAACTCAACTTTTACCATCCATGATATGATTAGCAGGAAAGGTCTTCATCTGCAGTGGATAATGATCATTGACGCACCAAAAGTCTTTTGGTAATACAATTTTTACTCCTCTTGCCTTTGCAGCCTCAAGTAGCATATCGGCTGCTTCTAGTGATTCTTGTTCCACCAATTCCATAGGCACAGGTAATCCAAAAGCATGCATGATTTGAAATGCAGCATCTCCAACAAAGATGAAACCATCACATCTAGATGCCAAAAATTGCAAGGCTGCTGCTTTCCCAGCGAGATTAGCTCCACCAATCTGCATTGCATCTCAAATTATCACTTGCATTTTGTGAACAAAAAGTTGTTTTTTCATTTGAAGCAAGAGCCTGAAAATGACTTCACGTTTAGGCAAAAGATTCTCAGATGCATACTATTGCATAATAGGGCCATTTGTTCATCTTGATTATCTTCTTCAGTTGAGACATTCCCTCGTCAAAGTGAAATCCGGCAATGGAGGAATAGCAGAAGCTGGTAATACCAACATTTGATGCAAGAATCTTATGTGATTGGAAAAATGCATCATTAACAAAGATATCGACCCCAGATGATAGGCGTCGTGCAAACTCTGAACAATTGGCTTGCTCCTGCTTAAACTGAGAAAGGTTCTCAAGCAGAAGGATGTCAGAATTATGTCCATCTTCCATCAGAGACTGCTCAAGTCCAGAACCAAGCTCCACTGGTATGACTTTTAGTTCAAGTTCTGACGATAGAAATTCTGAAGAACACATTATTCGGATCAATTGAACTCCATTTAAAACATGTTTAGTGAACATCAAATAAACACAGTTACTGTGTCCTGCATACAGTTTTTGATACTCTGGGAAGCTAAGCCTAAGTTCTCATATGGGGAGAAGCAGCATAAACAAAGTGAAAAGTAAGAAATTTGTAGACCTGCAACACGTTCCAATTTCAGAAGCTGTGAATCAGCTTTCGGACTCCAGCTACTTATTAGAACTAATTTTGCCCCAGCATTGTGTAGATACTTGATGGTTGAAATTACACGAGCTGCTGACGAATGCTTTTTCTTCTGCTCCCTTAGCAGGATGGTCAAATCCAATCTGACCATGACAACTTTTCCCATTAGTTCCTCCTCTGGGAAATTTCTAAGGGTTTGCACATGAGGTAAGATATCTGAATCTCTCCCGTCACAAGCTTCAGCCTAAAAGTGGATTCTTGTCTGGGTAAGAAGAACAAACAGCAGACTGAATAGCACATGAAAGAAACAATGTTGACTAGCTTGATTGTAGGAAACTTAATTTTAGGAGATTTGATTATGTTGACTAGCTTGATTGTAGGAAACTTAATTTTAGGAGATTTGATTATGTTGACTAGCTTGATTGTACGAAACTTAATTTTAGGAGATTTGATTCTATTCTAGGAGATTTTATTCTAATTGATTTGTAAAATAACTTTAATTGATTTCCTTTCCTAAATTAGCCATAGGAACCTCTGTATAAATACTAGTGCTCATTGGATGTAAAAACATACTGAAATACAAGAAGTTTCATTCTTCTTCTTGAAATCTATATGGTATTAGAGCCAGGCCCATCTCAATTATTGTTACCGATGTTGGGCCCCCATTTATGTTGTCCACGCTTCAGTTTACAGGCCTGGGCGTGAGGGGGGTGTTGAGTTGTCCCACATCGGTGGGATTTGAGGTCTTTGGTCTCCTTATATGGTCTTGGCTCACCTCATAAGCTAGCTTTTGGGGTTGAGTTAGGTACAAGGTCCATTATCATGGTATCAGAGCTATTGCTGCCTTTTTGAGGTGAGTTATCTCCTTCGCAACACTAGAGTTCCGTTTTATCAAAGAGGGTTGAGTTTTCTCTCTCTTGGTGGTTGTCTGCAACACAAACTCCTTATGAGTTCCCGTGTGGCAGCTACTTTTCCAACGAGATCTGCAGCTTTCCAGTGAGTTTTTCCGGCAAGATCAGGCAGATTCTATCTCTAAAAGGTTATTTTTGTATTTCTGATTATCCCTATTTGATTTTTGACATTAAGAATTATTACTTGTTCAAACTATGGGTGATACAAAAACAGATAATAATTCTATGTCTCAAATTAGTGCTGTTAAATTGGATGGGACTAGTACATGTCTTGCTTGGTCAAGATCTTGTCTACTTTTTATTAAGTCTAGAAAGTTGCTTGGTTATATTACTAGAGAAAAGAAAGCACTTGCGGTGACTGACCCTAACTATAGTCAATGGGATTCTGATAATTCCCTTGTTATGAGATGGCTTTTGAACATTATGCACCCTCGAATCTCTAAGCAATATTTATTGCTTGATATTGCGGAAAAGATCTGGAATTCGGCTAGGCGCACTTACTATCATGGGCGGCTTTCCAGCCATGCCCCATGACCCTTTGGACGCGCCCCGTGGCGTCCTGGCAAGCTTCCCAACGCTCGTCGCCACGGTCGGCCTCGTGGTCTCGGCAGCTCCAAGTGACAAGCGCGCATGTGCCTCTGTCGCCCCACTAATAGCCATTGCCAGCACCCAGTCACAGGCAGATGCCAACAGCGCCCGCGCGCAGACCCCGATGCTAAAGACAAAGTTGCTGCCAACGGACTTGTTTCTGCTTTGTAGAAGACTAAGTCCTTTTCATTGTAAATATAGAGTAGTTTTACTGCATTTTCTTTAAGTGTGATTTTCCAGCTTTCATAGGTCTAGTCATGTAACTTTGGTTTATTTTTTTTAGCATTATTAAGGGGGACCAAGCAATCAAACTTTCAAGCAAGCAAACAATTCTCTGTACTGGTGTCTCTCCCCCCGACACCGTGTTGTTTTTCTGTAATAGCTTTCATTCAATGCAATCAAGCTTTCTTTCATTCTCAGTTCTCTTTTCTGCTCTCTCTTTCAATTGATCACGATATTGGTTTTCCCGTACGGCACTGACAATTTAGTCTAGCGTACGGAGGGGACCTCAGTTGGCGGACAGCAATCGCACTGACATCGGTTGCTTAGCCTTACGTC